AATGACTTGCAATGTTAAATCTGATATTTTGGTATTTTGAATTTAGTAATTTATCTTGTTATGTCATGTTAGATGTTTGGGTTAGATTAGATTATTTTGTTATGATATTTCAGATGTTTAGTTTATTCTGTTTCAATGTTAAAGTTTATGTTAAATAAAATGGAAGATGTTGGTTGTTTTGTAACTAGATGTTGTATGTAATTTTTGAGGACAAAATTTTATTATGAGGGGAGAATTGTAAAACCCGCAAAATGCCATTTTAGATCTCATGCGTTTTTCGATGCATTGTGACGAGTTTTAAGTGAAATTTTTAAAGTTGTCAGGTTTCGAAGAAAATAATTTTATAAAATTCTATGTAAAATTCTAAGAAATTTGATATATAAAACTTATATTTAATTTCTCTTAATATGAGAGATAAAAAATTTTGAAGTCTAATAATACCCATAATACCCTTAGATATTTTTAAAGCTTGGATTGTTGTTTAAGTGAGGGTAGAATAGTCTTTTAGCCACATAAGGGAATTAAAGGGACCCAATACATTCGGTCCCTCATTCAATCGTGCGCTAAATCAAGAGGAACCGAAGGAGAAGAGGAGAGCGGAAGGGAGCGGCGAAAGCTCTTCGGGCGGCGGCTCCGACGACTTCTTCGGAGAGGTTCTTGGAAGGAAATTGTAGGGAAGATTAAGAGAAGGCTAATATGAGTTCTTATGAACCATTTCTCATGTTTTTCCTTAGGGTTTTTTCAAGAAAAGATTTCTAGGGTTTGAGAAAACTTTAATTTTCTTTAAAACATTTAATGGGGGATTTTTTGGGAATGATTAGGAGATAATTTTATGCATTGAATGAAGTTTTTTTTTTCTTCAAAATATGGAGTTGGAAAATTTAGGACTTTTTCATATTATTGAAAATTTAAGAAATTTATTAAGGAGCAATGTTTCAAATGATCATAGGAAGGTTTCTAAAGACTTAAATTAGGGTTTTTATACAAAATGTCATTTTTCTAATTTTAATTTAATTTAAATCCGAAAATATATTAATTAAATTATTAATTAGCTGTAAGGAAAAGTTTAACATATTTATATAAGGGAATCAATGGAAATGGGTTTTCCAAAATTAGGGTTTTAGAGTAATTCTGAAAATAGAAATTATTTTAAATTATTTTAAGTAATTGAAAAAGGGATTACTTGGATAACAAATGAATTTTAAGAAAATACATGTCTTATGTTTTAAATTAGGAAGAGGGAGAGAGAGAGAGAGAGTTTAGGGTGGTTTAGAAAGAGAAGAAAAATTTTATTTTAAATTTATTTTGTAGATTTTTAAATGAGAATTTGATTTTTATAGGTGATATTTGTGATGACCTCGAAGGAAGGGGAACTAGTGTGAAAATCGAATCCCTCGAATCTATAAGTATACATGATTCTTTAATTACAGTAATGTCTTTTATTTCTCTCAAGTTATATGATTTGATAGACCAATCATGATTCTTTAGTCTTCTCAAATGATTGATCATGCAAATTACATGTCATATTTTATTGCATTATATGATAAAGTTTATGTGTTATTTGAAATGAAATGATATGAGGTCATATGATTGTTATATTGAATGCTTGTATGTGCATGCTGAATTGATGGAGCTCACCCCCTTATGGTACTAGCTGGGGATGATATACTCGTACACGTTAAAATTGTAACGGATATGAAAAAGAAAATGGTAAAGGAGTACCTTTATGGTACTAGACGGTGGCTCATGTGACGGTTGTAATATATACGAAATGAGAAGTTACGAATAATGAATATGAAAATAAAAATAAAAAAGAAAGATATTGTTTTATGATATGATATGTTTAATTGCATGTTTATAAGAAATCAATTTATGTTATGTTCAAATGAAATGTTGCATCTAGCATACTGTTCATTTTATGCCTTGATTAATGTAGTTTAGAATCGTGTTTTATTTATTGAGCTTTGGCTTAATGATAGTTGTTAACATTTTTTTCAAGTAAGTTTAAGTAAATCAAAATGAGTAGAAGGGGTTGAAATGTTTATCGTAAAAGAGGAGCACCGGATGAAAGGTAATTTTATGGATATGCTTGATTTTATGTTTATATGTTTTCAAATTTGATATTTTAGAGGCTCTTTCAAATGTTAAGGTGATTGTTTTAGGAATTAGATATTTTAATCTACCGTCCGACCTCTGTTCTCGCCTCGTCTATGCTAGCTCACCGGGCCGAGTCGTGATAGAGGTATTGGCACCAAAAATGTCAGCATTACTTTTGAGACTAAGGCTTCGTTTGGGGCAGATTTTTTACTGTTTCTTGAAGCAATTTTTTAGTATAAAAATTAAAAATTTTGTATTATAAAGCTACTTCAAGAAACAGTAAAAAAGTCATCCCAAACGAAGCCTAAGCTTACTCTGAGAAGCTTGGATATATCAATCTCTTCTTTAGACTTCCTAACTCACTTCTAGAAGTTTTCTTTCTTAACTCCTTTAGAATTTCTACTCCAGCAATCTCATTCCTCTTAAGGCCAAATGATCAATTTGAACAATTTAGCCAAATTGAGCTAAACCAACTCCTAAGAATCATTTTAATTGATTCACAATATATGGATTAAGATCAATTGGTTCTTGATTAAGCTCAATTAACCAAATAGCTCGTTTGCCTTGATTAAACCCAAATATATTATATGAGATAAACTAATCAATTTGATTGGAATTAATAATAACAAATGGTTTAGATGGAACATATACAATAATTTGGGTCAAATAGAAGCTCACTTAAGATTTTTTAAAGTGATCCATACACAATTCGTCTCTTAGAATCATTTGAATAGTTCATTAAATACTCAAACCTAGCCTATTTGGTAAACCATTGACCCAAATGAAATCAGATCCAATTTAGAGCAAAAGCATTTATCTTTACTCAGAGAGTTAAAATCTCTTAGCATATAAGAAGCTAGAATAATATTATATGTAGAAATTCTCTTTTTAATAAAATCGGATTGATTGGAATTAATAAAGGGCATAGCCCCTTCATCCTATTAGCCATAATCTTATAAAAAACATTACATAAAGAAATTAGCCTATAATCAATAATTTGAGAGGTATTAGCATGCTTAGGAATAAGAGTGATGGTAGTGGCTTTAATAGTGTTAGACATATAATCAGCATTAAATAAAATGAAGAACTGCTTTACAAAATCCAAACCCAACTATGTCCCAAGAATTTTTAAAACATTTAAATGTAAAACCGTCTGGTCCTGGAGAAGAAGCAGGCCCAAAAAAGGCCACCTTTTTAATCTCTTCATAAGAAACCAGAGCTGTAAGAGAAGCCAAAAGAACATCCAGAATACAATTTCCAGTTAGAATGACATATGAAGAAGCAAAAACCGGCTTCGGGGAATTAAAGAAATTCTTATAATGCTTCACAAAAGTCTTAGAAATATTTTTGCAATCATAAATAACGTCGAAGTCAGTATAAAGAATTTGAATTATGTTCATGTTTTGTCTTTAGCAAATTTTAGAATATAGAAAGCCTAAATCATCTTCATCATGACTAAGCCAATTTGTTTTAGCTCTTTGCAAGATCCAAGAAGACCATAAACATTAATTATAACTAAGTAACTCATTAACTCTCTTCATGCCTAAATTAAGCTCAATATCCAATGAATTCACTTGAATCTTCTTAAGTAACTCTTCTTGAAGATTAAGAAGAATTTCAATATTATTAGAAGAAGCCCAAGACTTATCTTTGATCAAGCCTTTAAGATTGTACAAATTAGCATAAAAATCATTAATATGATTACCATAAGAAGCTTTAACAAAAACATCAATAAGAAGATCGTAGAATTCTGATTTTGTTAAACCAAAAATTCTTAAAACGAAATCTATTCCTGTCATGAGATACACTATTATTGCAAACAATAAGAAGAGATTGATCAGAACATTTAGAACTATCCACATGATACAAAGAATAAGTAAAAACATCGAACCAATACTTATTAACTAAAACCTTATCCAGGTTAATATAAATAGGATTATCCGATTGTTAATTAAGCCAAGTAAAAAAATTACCAACTCATGCAAATCAATATTAAAAACCAACAATATTAGATAAATAGGCAATGTCCAAATAGACCCAATGTAGTTTTTGTGTTGGGTCTATTTGAACATCGTCAATTTATCTAAAATTGTTGGTTTATGTTGTGGCGATAAAGAGAAAAATAATTTATTTGAAATTTAAAATTTTTAACATTCATGCCTGATGCGATGTTTTTCATGAAAAACCTAATATCGCTATATAAATATCCCTTAAGGCCTGTTATTTGGCATTCTCTTTCTTCATTCTTTATTCTCTACCATCATGCTATTATATTGCTCTACTTGCATTCCCTCACATATTTATTGGACACTTATGATTATAAGTTGTGGTTTAGGTTTTGTTTGAGACAATTTTTTGCCATTATATTTTTATTACTATCATTAATTTTTTATGCTAAAAAGTTGCTTCTGAATGGAATAAGTACGCCGTCCCAAACAAAGCCTTAGGTTTCGTTTGAGGCAGCTTTCTTCCCACTTTCTAAAACAGCTTTTTCGTACAAAAATTTTTTGAATTCAAAATTTTTGTACCAGAAAGCTGCTTAAGAAAACAGTAAGAAAATTGTCCCAAACAAAACCTTAGTGTGAATCAAGTCATGTTAGGCTAGTGACTTTCCATATGCAATCAGATGGTCGATATTTTAACTTCTATAGGCTATTTTAGATATATCTCCATTACACAACTCTAATTAGCTTATCTTGACACATTTCAGATGATTGACAGCATTGCAAATTGCACCATCTCATCTTCGAATAATCGTTTATTTCAACCAAAATCCATATAACAAAACAGCAAAGATTCACATTGAGAGACTTTTTGTGAATCTATTTTAGGTAAAGCGTAGGTGCCAGACACCAAGCTCAAGTGTAAAAGCCTCAACAGGCATGTGTAGTGAAGTAACCAAATGAATATAAAGAGACACCATATTTAGATAGCTGGGAGAAATAATACGATTTGTACCAGTAGTAGCTAACATCTATTAAACATTTTTTTTCAGCAAGAATAGTTGGCCAGAAGCCCTAAAGAGCATTTTGATGCACACAGCAAGCACAGTATCCAATTAGAAATGGTAGAAATCATCACCATCAATCACTAAATACTTGACTAAACTTTAATAGGTGAAAATAAGATGTTCACCTACACAACAATGTCTTGAGGAGTAATAGTATCTATTTGAAACGAGGACCAGCTCCTCATGATTCTGGTTTTGAGGATTCTTTCATCTCATCCCCACCATCCTCCTGCATTCGAGGAGAAGAACAAGTAATTGGCTAAGGAAACAATTAACAAGAATTTGCAGAGAGAGAGAGAGAGAGAGAGAGAGAGAGAGAGAGAGAGAGAGAGAGAGAGAGACCGTTAAGTCAGAGGTCCAAAGAGTCAAGTTGTCTCGGAGAAGTTGCATGATCAAAGTACTATCCTTGTAGGACTCTTCACCAAGAGTGTCCAACTCCGAGATAGCCTCATCAAAGGCCTACAACGAGTTCATTTGAATAAGATCACTGAATTGAGACACTGGGAACAACTATGTAATTGATGAATTTCCTTGCAAATGCAACCAAGATGCTCAAAGGAGCACTAGTGAAGCCACTAATCTTAATATGATAAATTTATTCTAGAATACTCGACTTTATTATATTATTTAATTTGTTTATTTTAGTGTATTTATTTGAGGAATTATATTTATTTTAAATTAGAATATAGGATTTTTAGGACTTTACTATTTTGATAATTAATTATTAATGAAATTCGAGTCGACCGTTACTCATTCCCCCATGTTTCTTCTCTCTCCTGATTTGTCAAAATAATAAAAAAAAAACAGAAACCATAATTTACTTTTCCCAAGATCCCCCATTTCTGTCTCACTCATGGTTGGGACCTCCCAAGGCTTCCTTCTCTAGAAATATCTTTCACAGATTTCCTAGGCAACTTTCTTGATTTCTCTTCTTAAGTGATCAGACCTTTCTCTTCCCCCCTCTCTTTAACATAGCTTCAATTCCTTTCACAAAAAAGCGTGACTACAAGAAATCACAATTAAAAAAAAAGGAAAAAGAATATGATCAAGCAAAATTGATTATCAACTAAAGCCAATCACAAAATTGGCACTAATAATGAATCTTCTTTAACATCAATTAATATTAATTAGAATATCCTTCTTTCAACATTGCCCACACTATTTGTCACCGGTTTCCAAGCAATATGGTGATCCTTGATTAAGAGAATCATTTAAGAAGAAACACAGAAGCACAAACAAAAGCACGGTCACTTCTTTTCCAAGGAGAATTTTAAAAATTAAAACATACGAATGAATCAGTTTTCTATGGGGACACATCTATTCCAAGGATGGTAACTATAAAGCCTAGACCCCTAGGGAATGCAGCTTGTAGCTTGAGAGCAGACTTCAATGATATTATTTTTTCTTTACTTCAAAGAGGCCCCAGCAAGAGCAGTTGATAAGTTTCTTTCATGCAATTCATCCAATAATCTCAAATGACTGAATATCATTGAGAACTGGAATCCATATTATCAAAGAATTCCCTAGATTTTTCTAGCATGGAATTAGACAAGCAACAAATTTGCTGCCTTATAATATTGTTCCTTTAATAATAAAAAATAATTTGGTTTATTTACCAAATATTGCTTATTAGTTTTGCACTTTAAAATGGAGGATAATATAAAAAATAAAGTAAAACACTATTCTAGAATTAGATGGGGGTATTTAAAGAAAAATATTAACAAAAATATTTTAAGAGTAATATTTTAGATTTTAAGATTTTGTTTGTGCATGATATGAGGAAAATTAGCTAGTGATATTAAGAATATTGCGAAAGATGTGCTTGGAGTTTCGAAGGGAAAAATTCCTAATAGTAACAATAATTGATGGTGAAATCAAAATGTGCAAGAAAATATAAAAAATAAAAAGCTTTGTTATAAAAATTAGTTAAGATGTAAAAACTCTGATAATTGGTAAATATATAAAGATGCATGTAAGGAGTCTAAGGCAGCAATATGCGATGAAAAAAATTTATCTTTTAATGATTTATATAATAGCTTAGATATTAAGGAGGGCAAAGATATATGTATAAACTAACCAAATAAAGAGATAGTAGTAAGGATTTGGTTCAAGTGAAGTGCATTAAGGATGAAAATCAAAAAGTGCTTTTATTAGAAGAAAATAGTAAAAAAAGTGGATGGAATATTTTGCTAAATTGTTAGAATACGATTGACATTAGTAACTTTAGCACCCTAAGAATTTTATTTTTATTAGTGCATTAGTAAAATTGAAGTTAGAAAGACTTTAAAGAAAATGAAGTGTTGAAAAGTCGTTGGATTTGATAATATTCTAATGGAGGTGTGGAAATGCTTAGAAGATAAAAGAATTTTTTGGCTTACTAAACTTTTAATATTATTTTGAAGACAAGATTATGAGTGGAGAATGAGTCTGTTGATTCCTATTTTTATGAATAAAGGTGATGCACAAGATTATGCGAATTATTGAGGAATTAAGTTATTATGTCATACTTTAAAACTATGGGAGAGTAATGGAGCACAGGTTACGATGTGATATGAATGTTTCTCAAAATCAATTTGGATTCATGTCGGGTAGATCTACTACGAAAGTTATACATTTATTGAGAGGTTTGATGGAGAAGTATAGAGAGACTAAGGAGGATCTACATATGATATTTATTGATTTAAAGAAAGCATATGAATGATATGATAAAGCTCCAAGAGAAGAGTTAAGGAGAGTTCTAGAAAAGAAATGGGTTAATAATGCTTACATTCTAGTCATTAAGGATATGTATGCAAGGAGTTATTACTTGTGTTCAAACACAGGGTGGTTTGACTAGTATTTTCCTATTTCAATTGGATTACATCAAGGATTAGCCTTGAGCCCATGTCTTTTGTTCTCATTAGATATTTGCAAGAGGTTGTACCCTAGTGTATGTTTTTTGCTAATGATATTTTTTTGTTGATAAGACTAAAGAGGGAGTTAAAGGTAAACTTGAATTATGGAGTCTATAAGTTTTCAATTGAGTAGATGATGTATGACTAAATGCTTAAATGGATGAAATAAGAATTTGCACGAGTTCTTGAATTAAGCACGTAAGATTACCACTATAAGCAATCAAAACGACAATAGAAAACAAAAGAGGGGTGCCTATGTTTAGGCTAAACCACACGCCAAACACTTGGAGATTCAAAACAAATCAAAATTCAATAACATGCAAGGTAAATAGTTTTCAGCAAAAATTCCTAATCTAATATTAAGATTAGAAGCAAATAAAAGTGCAATCAATCCTACGTTTACTAAGCTTTGGCAATGGCGAAGCAAAACCCTACGTTTACTAAGCTTAGGCAAAGGTGAAGCTCGGCTCCTTGTGAATCTCCATCACCTACAAGATTAGGGAGATTAGAGAAGTAAATAAAAAGGGGAAGAAGTTCACTCTTATCAAAACCCGATAGCAAGTAGTGAGATGTTGATGAAGTTTGTCGTAGTTTCTCGTGAAGATTTCTCTTCAATTTTGGAATCCCTTTCTAAGATTCCACCTTCTCGCAAGCTTGGAAAGCAATTGGCAGTTGGATGACAGCGAAACTGTCGATCTCCTCTTGCTGGAATTGATGGACAGCAAGTTGTCCTTCTTGGACAGCAGTTTGAAAAGGACTCCCGTTATCCAAGAGGCAGCAGGGTAATCTAGCAAAATTATCCAAAATTTTCAGCTAGGGTCATGGATAGTCTCCTAGGGGCAGTAGGGTAATCTAGCAAAATTATTCAAATAGGAAAGAGATGGTCCTTAACAGGGAAGGACAAGAATATGGAGGATATAACGGATGAATCATAAACATGATCAGACGATGGTTCCTGACTCAACCATAATGGGATAGCCCAAGAAGTCACCAGTAGGTATGAGACTCAAAAGATGGGGTAGAGTGTCCAAAACATAAGTGGGCACAGCAGATAGAGAGGTGACATGAAAGTAAAGGCTAATATTCTCTCTAACATTAAAGTCGGTACGAGGAATGGTGAGATAAGTCCCATCAAGATAGACACACTCTTTCAAATATAAATCTAAAGGAGCAACTCCTAAAACAGATTCCAATAAAACAATAGGATGTTCATCTTCCAAATTAGGCTCAGAATAATTCAGATTCAGATTACTATCTTCCGAATTCAATTTCAATATGCTCAAGGTCAGATCAGTTTCTTTCGGGATCAAATTAATATCATCCGGGCAGACCTTATCTAACGGGATATCCTTGATGAGACTAGGATTAGGATGGGCTAAGGTATCAATGCTCAAAGGTTCTAAATCTCCTACATCAGGGTCTAATTCAATCAATTCGGTTTCATCATCAAAGAGATCCTCGTCATCAATGATATCATTAGTATCCATGAAATGGATGCACTCAATTTTAGGTTTAAGGGACATTTTCTGATTGGGATGGCTAGGAGTCGGCCCAAGTGGGGAGTCATATGGGGCCGAACCAACAGAAGACCCAATAGAGGGTCGACCATCAAGGCTAGGTGGAGACCAACAGGGTGGGGCAGCAACCCTGATGTCACTAAGGTATGAGTGGTCTTGAACATAGTGATGTTCATGGTTTGTCCCAACAAAAGAGGCAGGATGGTTTTCTACATGAAGATCACTGGGTGTTGGGGTAAGGTGAGTGGAAGGTGGGAGAGGGAGACATTTTAACTCAAGTTCTCGTCTCATGCTTTTCCAATTAGAAATAGGGTATTCACCACGAAACTCTCTATGATCTTCTACCCTCATCCAAAACTGACAAGCACAACCGTTTAGGCGAGCCTTAACAATGTTCACCCGGTGGGACTCAGGAATATCATGTGTTTCAAAATAGTCTTCTAACTCTCTAACTCATTCCTTAAAGTAGTACGGATCCGAGGAACCATCAAAGGTGGGCAGACGGTTATGTGACTCTAAGTGAGGTTGTTGCGGCTTGGGCTTAGGACTAGGATAATAAGCAGAGTGAGTAATTTTCCGACTAACATGATTGAACGAATGGGGCACATACCTAGAGTAGGGAGAGTCAACATGTTTCTCCTTCATGGTTTGAGTTAAAGAGCCCACTAGGTTAACTAGGTCATCTAACTTCTTTTGAAGTCCTATCGGGTCCATTGCTAGACACTAGGGGTCACTTGGGAGTGAAACAAAGTAGTGGACAACACTATCATAAGAGTAGACTCCCTAGAATGGCACTAAATGGTGCAGGAATTATTTGGACAGCAACTAAAACAAAGTGCAAAAGTATTCCTAGATTACTAGAAGAGTTATTACAAAGATGACAACACTTAAATACCCAAAATCAATACTTAATGCTCACTAAATGTATGCAGAAATTTCTGGACAGCAAATGTAAATGAAGATTAAAATGTTTTTTATAGATGTTATGCATGCGGAAATAACTAAGCATGATTACAACAAGCCTTAGGATGAATTCTAGTATGAAAAT